AGGCATATGTGAGGAGGTTAACCTCAGCACTTCTGTAGAACTTGAGGAGCCATCTGCATTCCACAGTTTTCCGAGAAGACTCTCAGGTTCCTTTTGTGCCTCGGCCTGTCTTGCGAGCTAGGACCGAGGATTGACTTCTGCTGCGGCAGAGTTCTCCTCTGAGGTTGGCTCCGTTTTCGGAGGTTCTACCTTTTTGGCTGATGGTTGCTCCGTTTTCGGAGGTTCTACATTTTCGGCATGGTGAAAAGAGAAGGACTTCTTGTTAGAAGATCTAGCCTTGGGAGGCTCTGGTGGTTGTCTCCGCCCTGCCATTTTTAGCAATTGGGCTTCCATGTCGCTTCCATTGGTCTCGCACCACCTTTGTGACTCACGTGCCAGGGATGGCATTTCCGTGTTACAGTGGTCGGACCACCATTTTTTTGTAGGAGCCAGCAAAGCGACTGGCAAAGAAACGTATCAGGAAAACATATAAATCGAATCAAATATCTTTCCAATATAAATCCAACAAGGCTTCGGACTGAGGACTCAACATTTTTTCCGGATGTCCAGATCGCGCCGTAACAGCGAGCCGAGACCGGGTCCCCATTCGGGGACCGGCCTCCACCCATAGCTCAAACGAACATCCCACCGGCGCAAGGTAAAGTTCCAGGGTGGGACGGGCGGGACTAAAACTTCTAAGCTCCCTCCTCCGGAGCCTCTATTTCACGGATATAATCGAATCAGTCATCAGAGCACTAAAGCAGTGCAAGTCAACATGAGAAAGCATGTGAAAGACCTACAGCAATCTCATGAAAGAAACGTGCGGAAAATCGGAAAGGAAATCGTATTGATAAAATCAATTAAAACTTTCTTTTGGGGCCCACCCTCCTCCCCTTTGCATCCTACAAACCCCTTTGGGCAAGCCCAAGAAGCTTTGTAGGAGCCAGCAAAGCGACTGGCAAAGAAACGTATCAGGAAAACATATAAATCGAATCAAATATCTTTCCAATATAAATCCAACAAGGCTTCGGACTGAGGACTCAACATTTTTCCGGATGTCCAGATCGCGCCGTAACAGCGAGCCGAGACCGGGTCCCCATTCGGGGACCGGCCTCCACCCACCAACGCGAGGATCGCTTTACCACTTCGTCTTAGTGGCCAACTTCTGCTTCTTTGTCAAAGGAGCTGGTGGGGCACTTCCTTCTCCCCCTTTTCGCCATTCGAGCATCTCAGAATGAAAGCTTGCCAAATCAAGAAGAAGCTTGCACGGCACATCAGAAAACTTCGCATCAATCCGAAGAGCTAAATCGAAGGCGCTGAACCGTTCATTCGTCAAGTCATCTGCCTAGGTATTGAGCTCACGCGGTCGCCAGTTCAAGTTCATATGGCCCCCGCAGCGGAACAAATCGTACTCCAGCTGCATATACACATACGTCAACGGGAACTTCGTGGTTCCCTGGCGGCGCATGACCAGCTCATTCGCCAGGTTGTCGGTCCCCGCAGAGACCGTGAAACTCTGCCCAGTCCCATCCAGCCATCCGAACAAGTGCAGCCCCAGCCACGTGGCCAGAAGCTCGGCAACTGTGCTCATTCCTTTCGCCGTCCCTTGTGCATTGAACAAGAATGGATAATCAGCGGCAGTGACCCGGACAGAGAACCAACGGCACTTCTTTGGCTCAAAGCTGTGCAGAGTTTCCCATCCACCCAGTACGAAGAAATCATCCTCTGCTTTCGCGTCCGTGCGAAATGCTTCGCGAAGCATCAAAGGTGGCGACTTACAGCAGACAAGATAATGCTTCTCTTGCAACAAGGTCAAGATGTAGCGAAGGACCACCATCACCATACGAGGTACCAAGGCCACAGTTCCTGGAGTGATGGCAGCTTTCCAGCGATGAAGCGGTCCCATGAACGGTCGGAGCCAGTACAGAACTTGCCCAGCATAGACCAGTCGCCCCACAAACTCGGTGAAGCGCCGATGCTCAATCATCCCTCGGCCCCTCTGCAGATCCGTGATGAATTCGATGAGCCAGTTCGCCCGACGCTCCGACAGTCCCACTTTGAACCGGAAGTAATCAAAGTAGAAACCAACATAATCCAAGCAAACTCCCCCACGAAACTTAGACCACTTAAAAGGAGTTCCAACCATAAGCCAGTAGAGGAGCACCACCCAAAGGTCGTGGTACTTCTGCTCTCCACCCGCCATGATCTGTAAGTCATCTGCGAAGAGCATTTGGAAAAGCGAGGCCTGCAGTGCAATGCGAAGAGCTCCACGGCCTATCAGCCCAGCCAACCTGGCGAAGTGATAAGCAGCGCAGGCCACACCGAACGTTCCCACCCGGTTAATCCAGATCGGGCCGTCTGGCCTGGCCCGACAACCAAGGTAGCCATGATCCTCGGGTGCATGCTTGTACCTCCGATGTGCTTTTGCAATGTCCGCAGCGATTCCTATAAGGAGTCGATGACCATCTTTTTGCTGGATTTCCATTGCCCGCGCGGCATTCGAAGGTGTAGGGAATTCAAGCTTATCAGAGATCTTAATCATGTTGTTCAGCTTGACGGAGTGAGTGCCGTCAAAGAGGGCTCGTACTGAGCCATCGTCCTTTATGATAGCTCCGAGACTTGCCACCCGCAGCGTCTCCCCAAACCGCCGTCGCGCCTCCTTCTCAGACAAGGGGTACATGAATCCAAGGGCCTCCTCCTCCTCGAACTGCTTCTCCAGCTGCTCGGGCACGGCCTTGGCCGAAGAGTAGTTCTCATTGATTGCCTGAAACTCAGACTCGTCATACTCTCGCCATTTCCCCTTTGGCCTGAAGACCGCCACTACGCGAGGAAAGGGCCGGTCCACTCCCAGTCTCCGCCCACGAGCATAGTTGTCCTCTGCACGCGTGAGAACCTCCCAGTCTTCATCTCCCATAGCCCGACAAGTCTGCGAGAGCGCCTCCAGGAAGAAAGGTTGCCCAGGCTCCTGGTGAGCGGCCGCTGACGGATCTTCCAGCAGAGAGAACCAAGACTTACGAAGACGATCCATGGCCTGAGCAGAAAAGGGAGCTTCCTCGTACTTGCCCAGGGCCAACATGAAATATGCCCGCTTGGGGTCCACGATCTCGGTCCTGATGAAATCATCCAGAAGACTCCGAAGAGCATTCACGAACTCGTCAGCTTCCTTGGTGAGCCCCCGGCCCCGAGCGGTCGGGCGCCAGCGACCCGGACTGTTAAGTCCGCAACCATCAACGAAGGAATGGACCTTGCCTCGCCATTGCACGGTGATGGGATCGCCGAAGTTGTCCTTGCGAGCCTGGACCAGATGACCATGGAAGGTGTCACCCTCCTCTCCAGCTCCCCGCTCGAGAAGACGGACTGATGGTGTAAGCCCGCCCGAAACAGCTTCATCCGTCTGCGACACACCCTGCAGTCCTGAGATCCTTTTCCAGGTGTTCCTCAAGGTACGGCTAGCTTTCGCAGGCTCCCGGATCGAGAACCCAATGATCACGGTCCGCACGCCCTTCCAAGACATCGTAGCATGGAGTTGACGAGGATCCAGAAGTTGAGGGCCCGTGGCCACCGGAAGAATTTTGCCCCAGCGCTGCTCGCCCTCGTACTCCATGGGCTCGAGTCCGCCATCCACTTCTTGCCAGACCCCTCCCCCCTTAAATCGGGAAGCTGGAACCAGCAGGTTCCAAGTGTTGGCACCATTTTGACTGTCGCAATGTGGAAGCACTTGGCGGTTCCTAGACACCACCACCGAAGTAAAAGCGTAACCTGGAAGTGCAGCGCGAAGAATTCCGCAAAGAAGTGCCGTAACCCAGGGGTGGCTGGACACATGCGTGCGAAGCCCGATGACTCCGCCATGTTGAAAGAAGCCACTCATGAAAGTCTTTGAGGTCAGATCCCCGGCTGTAGCGCGAACCTCGGGGTCCGACGGCAGCAGCCCACAGAGCTTTTCGAAGTCTTCCACAGTGACCCTGCCCTTCTTGAGGAGCCGAGCCGCGAAACTTTCCGCATCCGAAGTTTCCCCTGCTGGGGGCCAAGAGCCCGCCGGCAGCTCCAGTCGCAAGGACGAGAGCTCGAATTCGTCTTTCGGTCCCTCCCCGTCCGAGGAGTCATCTGAATCCCAGGTGGCTTGCTCCAACGGCCTGCGCCCAAAAGTGGATGCGTCCCCAGCCCCATCAACGCGACAGAGACGCAGCATGCTTTTGGAAAGCCAGGCGCACATCAGCGAAGGATAAGCTGCCGAGGCGGTGGCCCAAGTACCTGCGAGGTCTTTGCCCAGTAGTGAGCGATCATGACGATGACCACAGGAGGGCGGAAGAGGCCCGCGATATCGGCCATCCGCCGCAAGCTCAGGCGGCCCCGTAAAAAGGGCAGCTTCACACCAGTCCAGACGGCTCCATAAAAGGCGAGTGGGCTTACTCGAAGGTGCACCCCACTGACACTGAAAGAAGGCAGCCGTTTGCACCCCATCCAGAAGTAGAAGCTGCTTGAATTCATCGAAGTCCCAGACCGAAGCAGGAATGAAGTCGTTAACCGCGCCCAGGGTGCTCAAAGATGAATGGCTTGCAAAGCTCAAGGCGAATGAAACAAATTTCGAAGCACTTCAGCACCCCGAAATTAGCCTCCTCGACCGTAGAACGATCTTTATCCGACAGCCAAGGAAACCCGAAAACATACTGTAAAGAGCGAAGCGGCCTGGGCCCACCGGCGGTGCGCCAGTGAGCTTTAGCTCTGCTGAAGGTGCTGACCCCCGGGACCAGCAAGATCACGGAAGCTTCCTGTATCAACAGTTGCAATTCCGCACTGAAACCTGATCCAGTGTCGCTCTTAAGGGAGGTTCCCATAAGATCAACTTCCAGACCATACAATCGAATTCCAAGTGATTTGGCTTCTCGCTGCAAACATTCCCGGACATTGGAATGACGACGCCCGCCTGAGTAAAAGTGCAGAAAACGAAAGGCCCTGTCCGATTTGACCGGCTCCAGATCCCAGCACTCCCAAGCAGATGAAACGGCCACATCCGTGGCTAGTCAGTTTGGCTGATTGTCCTCAGCACCACCCTTGTCTTTCTGCAGTTTGCAGCTTTTGCGAGGGTGTGGCTTCAGGCATAATTGGCAGACGTGCACTCGACCGCAATCGCCTTTGCATGTGCCGTTGTTGTAAGCATAGCAGATCTGTCGCCCATCCGGCGTGCTGCTAAACACGAACCCCCTGGCCGAGGGATAGCCGATGCGGAGGCTGCTTTTGCCCCCCTTTCCGCGGCCTTTGCCACCCTTACCCTTTGCACTTGCTTCTGCACCTGGTACATGATCCTGAAGCCGAGGCCACTTCGCTGGCGGAGGCGGTGCCGTGGAAGAAGATCCTCGACTGGCCAGCTCCAGCGCCAACGGTCCTACAAAGTAGGTCTCTTTCAGTGCTGCATCCGTTCTGACTTCCGCCAGTGTTGTGGAGATATCTCGATTGTCCCTGCAAGCACGCTTGTAAGCTTCTTTGCGGAGTCGATGCTCGAAGCCCAACAAGAGAGCCCAAGAAGGATTGACCGACTGAGTGCCCGAGGCGCCATCAGGCCGAGACATTTGCAGAAGAAAGATCTTATCTCCCAACACATAATCGACATGCTTTGTAAAGTCCTGCACCCGGAGGTCCACAAACCAGGGCTTGGTGCGGAACCTAGCAGCCAGCATCAGAAAAGCATGACACTCAAGACGTAGCCGCTGACGGAGCTCCTCCGAAGTAGCTGATACCTTGGCCTTCTTGCGCTCCTTCACAAGCCGTAACCAACCCGATGAGTCTACTGAGGATTGGAACTGAGCATTGACCTCATCGGAGACGCTGGTCACCTCATCAAGTACCGCAGCACGGAGTTCTCCCGCCTCAACTTCCTCCAATTTCAATGCAAGATACGTGGAGCTAGGTTCGTCCTTCTCCTCCAAGGCGCCAACAACCCTCTCAAGTGCATGACGCATACCCATCCGATCGTTCAATGGGAGCGGCTTTGGAAGACCAAGAACATGTGCCTCAGCCTTCAGCCGACGTTCTTGATCAGCCATGTCGTAGCAACTCTGCCACGCTGCTACCAGACCTGCCACTGCCGCTCTGCCATCGGCATTATCAGCGACAGTCACCTCAGCCCGAAGCGCGGTCCGCGCGTCCGCTCTTGTATCTGCAATGGAAGAGAACAGGGCAACACTGCGATAGCGCTCGCCGAGCTCACGCTGATGCAGCAAGCTTACGCCCATTTCCTCCCATACATAAACAAGATCAGCACTGACATGCTGAGCAACATATGCCCGACGTGCCGCATCATCGGCCATGCCCTACGATGCCACTCCTATAGCATCCGACCCTTCGGCTCTGGTCTTTCAGCCGCAAAACTACTTCCGAGTTGCTTCCAAGCGCTCACAGTACATGCGTGCAGAGAGCTAAAAGGCAGAACAGACGACCAGCACGGGCACCGAACAAGCGCGCAGTTTAGGCACTCTTCCTGAGACGCTTGCTCAGGCTCTTCCAACTCGGTGCTGGAGGAGGATCCCGAGGATGAAACTTCCTGAGAGGCCGAAGCCTCTTCACATGACACCTTCTTCCAACAAGTCTTACACCAAGCATCGGCATTGGCAGAATCAACACTTCTGAAACCTTCTGCACGAAAAACACTCCAAGGCATGATCCGGCACTTATCCTTGGCATGAAGCCGCCGAAACTGGCTGCGTCTCGAAATAGAGACCCAATAAGGAAAGCACGAAACATCGGGATCTAGCCCATCTTCATCTTCCACGATCACCTCCAGTGCAGCCTCCACGTCCAGCCCTTCGGTGATATGCTCATAATCAAGTGGAAACCCTAGCAGCAAAGCACGATGTCCTGAGTCATTCGTCCGCCACACACGGTGGCGGGCAGCCCCTCTGGCAAAGCTGACCCCGCGTGTGTTTGCAAATTCCTGCAACTCATTTAGCAGCGGACGCTCATCAATTCCGGAGTGGCCCACTGCAGCACCTTCCACGACCTGCATCTGCACACGGTGTACCACCTCCCGCGAGGTGACAATGTACTCATTGCTCTCATGCGCTCCAGCTTGCCACCTTCCCAGGAAATCTCTATCTGGCTTTGAAACCCCAAGTGTGGCCGCCCAAGAAGGCAGCCAATGTCTTGCAGAGTGACCGGACCAGTACGGCAACAGCTCCTGAGGCAGCAAACTCATGGAGCTCTTGACCCAAGCATGCTCTCCTCGCTGGGGCACAGATAGCTCTGCAAGCACCCGCTTGATGCATACATTCAGCATCTCAGGTGACAAATGCTTCTTGACTCCACCAGTCCAGTCTGCAGAAGGAAAAGGAAGAAAATACATGCGCTCCCAGTAAACTTCCGGCATCTTGAACAGAGCAAGGCCCACTTGCAACCAATCATTTCCTGAGAGCGAAACCTCGCGGCCCACGTAGACAGGCACCTCGCGTGCCCTGCGACCAGGACCCGTGGTCTTGGTCCGTCTAAGTACTCCGGAAAGGCCGCTATCAGTGAGCGTCATACGCCCCGGATCCAACCATTGAACATCGTCAGCTCTCATAGCAGTCCAATGTTGCAAAGAAATCACCCAGGCAATGATTCGCGAAAACAAAGAAGCATCCTCGTCCAAAACATGAATCTCTAAAGCAATAAGCATGGCCATCGTATACAACTTGGCTGGGCGGCGTGGCGCCGCACGGCCCTGCAGTTCCTCGGTAATGGATTGCACCACGGCCTTGACTGTCTCATCCGAGGAGAACCTATCCCTCATGTGAACTCTGCCCACGGACTCCAGTACAGATAAAGCAGCCAGAAGCTCCCCAGGCACACTGAACCCACAGCCATCCTTCGAACGTTCCTCCAGAAAATCCGTAACGTCTGAGACGCGTGAGGGCCAGGCCAAACCTCTGACCGTCTCCAACCACATGCGGTAATGCTTAAAGGATCTTGCACGGTTCCTCAAGGTCTTGGCCCTCCGGGCTCCGAACACCCTGCGCCAGGCTTGCCGACGATCCTCTGAACCTTCAATCAAGGAGACTACAGGCAACTGAGCATCAATGATGTAAGTACTGAGCACTTCCACCCATCGCTCGCGCTCTCTGGACTCAAGAATGTCAGGATCATCCTCCACAGCAAGCAGAGACCTGCCCAAACCTGACTTCCCACGCTTCCGGATAAATGGTACCAGTGCATTCGCGGCAACTGCAAAAGTTTCCTGCGCTCTCGAAGAGTCAGATTGATGTACAGGCAGACGAGGCTTCTTGAACCTTGCATTCACCTGTGATTGCACAATTTTCCTCTTGACAGCCAACTGATTACGAAGTGCCTGCAGCCGTCCCCGTAGCAGTGCTGTCTGCAAAATATCATTTCCAGAAATGACTCCAAGCACATCTTCGAAGCCCTCTGGACTCTCAAGCAGCTCTAATGCAACCAATGGCTGGGAATACTTCGAACGCAATCGCTCGACCCATTCGGCAGGGAACACATTCCAGCAGGCCTGACCTCTGCCGGCTTCCGCAGAAGCTGTGGCCATGGAGCTACCCCATGGTCGCGCCCCCACCGACTAAAACTTCTAAGCTCCCTCCTCCGGAGCCTCTATTTCACGGATATAATCGAATCAGTCATCAGAGCACTAAAGCAGTGCAAGTCAACATGAGAAAGCATGTGAAAGACCTACAGCAATCTCATGAAAGAAACGTGCGGAAAATCGGAAAGGAAATCGTATTGATAAAATCAATTAAAACTTTCTTTTGGGGCCCACCCTCCTCCCCTTTGCATCCTACAAACCCCTTTGGGCAAGCCCAAGAAGCCCAACCCGTTTGAGTTCTTCGTACTGTGGGGACACCCACAGCTGCTCTGAAGGTGCGAAGAGGGCACTGAGCATACTGGCATGAACCACCTCAGGGGTGGAATACATCCCGGCATCTGAGTACCAGAGATTCGACACAACGTTGACAACGTTGTTGGCATCAAACACCAACAGCAGCGGCTTGTGTGCCCTTAATCCTGTTGGATTTGGGTCTCTGAGATCTACGGCCGCAAACTGAACACTGTCCCTGTTGGGACGACTGTTGCATTCAACGAGTGCCTGGAAGTTCTGGGATGTAACCACCTCCTTTAGGAGGGTTGAAGGTACTAGCCCATGTCTCATAATTGGCAGGAGAGCCTAAAGATCAGTGGCATGCATAATAAAGACGGGTTCGTCTTGTCGGATGTAGTCCTTCATGCCTTTAGGTCTCGGAGCATTGGTCGACTTTCTTGGTGCTCGAGACTGCACAGGAGTTATTCCCGATGCCATGAAATCGCCAACGGTCATTTGTGACCTTGGGCGTTCTTCTTCAGGATCAGGCTCATCCGCTCTTGATAGAGCTTGTCTTGCACTCCGACCACCTGTTGCAGAGAGGTACAGTCTGACCATGGACGATACATCCGCACTCTTTGAATTGTCAGACCAAGTGTGGTCTCATGTCTTCTCCCGTCACTGGTATCGTAATCCATCCACGCGACGAATCGACTTTTGGTATTCAGGATGATACCCAGTGCCATCTCCTGTGGAGAATATTTTGCCAGGCCGTGTTCGGCCAAAAGATCCACGGGCAGGATATAGTTGTGCTGTCCAATGAACAGATGTGGTTTCTCATTGTGGAGATGTCGAGTAAGCCATGCTATGCATCTTCCAACTTGGTTGGTCTTTCTAAGGATGTGAAAACACATCTCCTTGGACAGTCCGGTGGCTTCTACCAGGTTTGGTACTGACACCTCATAATCGTATTCTCCTGCACTTGTGAGCGCGACACTGCTGATTACCTCCTGTGGGAGGCCAGTCTGGAGATGATAGCAGCCACGTCGTGAAGCTCGCTGTATCTCTGCGACCTCATTCGGTTTCGCACGTTTCCTTCTGCGGGTTCCAGACATCCAGTGGCCAAACTTCCTCAGGCCGATCCACTCCCTCTGGTTCAAGAATGCGCAATTCGCATATCCACAATGCGCCGAGTGGCCATGGCGTCATTGCGCGTGACCATTTGTTGGCAATGGTCCAGCCCAATTGAAGCTCAATGCCTGTAATCTTCCCTGTAAATCGAGACAATGCATCATGGATCATTTCCAATCTCAAGAATCACTGAATGATTCCTTCATTCAACGTCACCGTGACGTAGTGATCAATGGTCGCGTGACCTCAATCAGGGCTTCTTCCATTGGTACAATTCTAGAGTTGCAGCAATTGAAGCCAAATGCACGTAGAAAATCGCGAATGTCTCACGCAATCGGGTCAACACCACTGGCCAACGCAATTGGTTGGGCTTCTGAATGTGGTCACTTCCCTGACTCACAATGTTGAGAAACTGATTTAATGGTGAGCTCTGTGGCAATGTCACGAACCTGCTTTCCCCATCTAAGACTTTCAAATTCTGTTGAAATCATGCGATGTACAATTCCGAGCACAGCGACGTTGACAAAATCAGTTTGGAGCTCGAAACAATGAATGTTTGGCTCTCACGCCAATGCTTTGCACACTTCCCAACTAAATGCTGGAACTCTTCATCCAAACACAGGGTTGGTCAAAGACCTCCCAAGGAAAATCTTTCTGGTCAATGTGTCTCAACAGGAATGATAAAGTCATGCATGCTGAGCTCAAACCAAATTCACCTTTCTTTGAGACAATACTCACTCTGACACAGCATGCGCAATGCATGCAATAGAATCACAAGCCAGCGGTCCCTTGGACAAGGCGAGTTAATTCTTCTGTGAAAATGATGAAACAATGTTTGTTGGTTGGGGGTTTTCTTAATACAATGGAGATCGAACACGATCAACTCACATAGAACAATGAAGTTTCTCAAGAGTGACAACCAAGACAGACGCGTGGAAAACAATGATGGAGAGAAGGCATGCGCAAAGGGCAGATGATGGACAAATCAAAGACAGTCGCAAACGAACTCGGACAAATCTTCACAATCTGCTCAAAGCCACAGACTCAACCAAATGACAAACAATAGACGGCAGCCATGGTTCAATGCTGGGTCTGACAAGAACATGTCTTGCAAAATGTCCACAATCAATCAATGTGTCCTCGGCTGATCCAATCCTCAGAAAATGTGCCGGAAGATCAAGCCGGGCTGCAAGAGCAGGAGCTGGGTGTCTCTGAACTCATGCTATTGTCGGAAAACTGCGATGAGATTCCGGCTGATGACATTGCAGCAAGTGCAGAATTGGGGCCCGGATTGACCGATTCCGGATCTTCGTCGTCGTCATTGACGAGCCAGAAGCACAGTGTAATGGTTGCGACTGCGGCGGCCATTGCACAGAAGAAACGCAAGGGCCAGTAGCGATTGGCCTACTGATCCACAGCACGTGTGGATTGAGGATCCACAGCAAAAGTGGATTGTGCTTGCTGTCGTTGGAATTCCGCTGTGACGCGTCTGATGTGTGTTGGCTGGAGGTGATGTTGGTTGCATCGACTCTTGGCCACATCACGCTATTGTGCTCGATTGCCATTTAACTTTGGACTTCTGGACTTTCGTGTGCACGATAGTTTGGTAACAAGGTTACGGGGACTGTCCGTTGTCGGATGCGACAAGAACGGCAGTCGGAGTTCTTGGGATTGGAGCTCCACCTGTTACCTTGGGCTGCTTGGAGTGACGGCCTCTTGTGGTTTCCATCCGGTCGCTGAGAGGGCTGTAGTTCGACTCAACGGCTAAGTCTGCGCGCCGCAGTCACTGGTTTTCCCTCTATGTTTCACCGCTGTCTTTCCTTGTTCGTGTCTGTTTGTTTGTAGGGACGGAGCCGTAGCCGACGAGGCTCGCTCACGCCAAAAAAAAATGGGGCCGCCGCCGCCGTCTGGGGGGGAAACCTACCTGGTTTCTTTTTTGGGGCCGCGTCGCTTGGCGACTGCCTGGAGGGAACCCGGGAACCCACCTGGCTTCGTTTTGGGGCCTTGCTGCCCTCCGCGAGGACCTGTTGGGGCTGGGCTCTGCCGTCTCCGGGGCTCTTGCGGGAACTCTTCCGCAACCCCCTCTTGGTGCCTTCACAATTGGTGCCTTTGCTTGGTGCCTTCGCTTGGTGCCTTTGCCAGTGCCTTTGCAGGAAACTTATGAGCCCATGAAGCTCTAAGTTCTGCATCCTAGCCTGGCTACGCATTCCAAACCCTCAAGCTTACATCTAGTCACAAAGAACTCGTAAGCACACGACTAGGGCGTGCTCTACGGTGTTGAGAAGAACCTGTTCAGCGTGGCCAGAGCTTCGGGGAAGTTGGCAATAAAGCATGCCTCAGAGAGTGTTTGACGTGGTCCAAACCCCCAACCCCAAACCTTGAACACGCACACACACTGCACAGCACGGAATCAAGACTCGAGCAACACAGACTTTCAAGCACTCGCAGAGACCACGCAGGAAGCCCCAAGAGCTCCAACTCTCTCTGGAAAGGGTGTTCCAGCACTCTACTGCTCGACAATGCCACAACTTCAAAGTTTCTAAGAACGTCAGAGCTGCGGACCCGCGAATCGACAGTGCTCCGAAGTATCGAATTTTCTGACCTGTGTCTCGAACTTAGCTGCGTCTCTTTCTCGTTTCTTGCCGACATGGGCCCGCTGGCCTCGCGTGATGCAGTCCTCTCAGCTTTGGCTCAACACTATACAGGTTCCCGATCAAGACCGTTTGCGCGGCTCTTCTCTGTGCTCCTGCCCATTTGGCGTTCGAGCCCGGGCCAACTCCAACAGGCGTGCCACCTGCCCTTGTTGAGTCTGAGTTCCTTCACTGCTTTTCAGATGCCTCAGCTGCTGGCTGTGGCAGTACTTTCCACCGGCGTGGCATATGTCTTTGACTTACAAGCAGATCTCGATCATTTCTGTAGCAATGATTTGAACGAACTTTGGCGCACCCATGTCGCTCCCATATGCCGAAAAAAAAAAGACTACCTATGACCAGTCCCTGCCACAAAAGAAGAAGAAGCCACACGAAACCGCTTTGTGGGGGTTTTTGCGAAGAAATCAAAGAAAGACAAAGCAAAAAAAAAGATTGTCAATGACGAAGAGTCTTTCTTCTCAAGGGGGCTTCAGAAGGACATGAAGTCTCCTACGAGAATGCTAAAGGCGCGAACAAATGCCGCCCAACTCGGGTTCTAGACTCCTCCCCAGAGTTCGAACGGGGTTCGAACTCCCCCCCAGAGTTCGAACGGGGTTCGAACAGAACACCAACAATCACCAAACAAGGAGAAGAAGCACACAGAATCGCTTTCTGGGTGGTTTTGCGGACAGAAAACCACAAACTCAACCGCAAGCACAAGCAAAAAGAGAAGAAGACACACGAAATCGCTCATGGTGTTTTTGCGAAAAAAATAAAATGAGAGAACAAGAAGCAATGAGACAAGAGTTCGAACTCTGGGTTCAGAAACTCCATGTTCGAACTCTGGATTCGGAAACTCAATGTTCGAAACCTGGGTCTCAACTCTTCAGGAGCGCCAGAGTTCGAACTCTGGGTTCCGAAACTCATGCTCAAACCCTCGGTTGAAACTCTTTCGCCTTTCAGAGTTCAAGA